CAGCAGCCATACTCGAGGTGGTGAGATGGAATCTCAGTGTTGTTTGAATCTGCACCTCTCACATGACCAGTGATGTTGAACACTTTTTTGTATGATTTTTTTGATGCTTTTACTTCTTTGTCAGAGAAATGTCTGTTCATTTCAGATGCCCATTTTTGAATTGGGTCTTTACATTTGGGGGGGTCTGATTTTTTTTTTAGTTATTTATATATTCTAGATAGTAGACATTTGAGACACAGATGGTAATTTTTTCCCCACATTTTGGCTTGTCTCTTAGATCTGCTTATAATTTCTCTAGAAGTGCGAAGCTTTTTTAAAAAGATGAGATCCTAATTGTTCTTTGTGGTAGTTCTTGAACTACTGAGGATTTTTTCATATAGTCTTTTTCTATGCTGAGATCTTCAAGAGTTCTACCTAACTTATCTTTCACCAAATTTAGAGTTTCTGTTTTAATATTTAGATGTTTAATCCACTTACATTTTATTTTAGTGCATGGTGAAAGATAGGCATCTAGTTTTAATCTTTGGCAAGTTGAAATCCAGTTTTTGCAACACCATTTATTAAAGAGGCTATGTTTTCTCCAATGAGAATGGTTGGCTCCTTTGTCAAAGATGAAGTAGCTGAGTATGTCTGGAGTTGTTTCTGCATCTTCTAGTCTATTCCACTGATTCTTGAGTCTATTTTTTGCCAGTAGAATGCTGTTTTTATCATACTGGCTTTGTAGTATAGTTTCAAGTTGGGGATTGTGATAACCACTGCTGTGTGTCTGTTGCCTAGCATTGCTTTTGCTATTCTAGGTCTCTTCTGGCTCCAAATGAATTTTTGGATTGTTTTCTCTAAGTCACTCTTATTTAACTGTGGCCTGTTTGGTGCCTGTCCCTGAGAGTGGAGTTGTGTCCTTGCATGTCCTCAGGTACACTCGTGTCTGCTGGGCTTTGAGTATATCAGAAGTGATACCCCAGATCCCAGACCCGCAAATATTGGTGGTATACATGATCACATTAGTGTTGCCACATCTCAGCTTGTGGCCATCTCCTCCAAATGGAATTTAAGGATTTTTACCATTAAACACAAAAAGGCACATCAAATCCATTTGCTTTCCAACATCCATAAGTACATTTCCTGGCAAACAACTTAGCCTCAGTTGTGATAATAGTTTTTCAATGTGTAACATGTAACATGTAAATACCCTGTGAGTGCTGTCAAAGACATTTTCTAAAGGTAACCTTCAAAATATTTTAGCAGGCAGACCTCAATGAGAGTGTTTTTTTGTCTCCTGGATTTTTCAAAATTGTCATCTGGGAGACAGCTTTCACTGTTGAGAGAATTCAAATCATATCCCTCTATTAGTATCTATATCATTTGTTTATTTTCTGTAACAGCACAAGCAAGTTTAATGCACCTCCAACTTGGGCAAATACGTGTGCCCAGGAGACAACACTGTCCATGTGACTCCATTATGGAGAGATTGCACCCTTCTGGGAGGATGAAAGACACATGCTCATCCTGTGCTAGGATTGTGGCCAGGGTCACCTTACCTTAAATAAAGCTCCTTTATTATCTCAAAGTCTTGTTCTGTGAGTAAGGTATGCAGACCCATCAGCTTCACTTTTAAGAGGGATCTAATGACTGTTACATTTATGTTGGGGTTAGTATTCTATCTGTCACCTTTGGGTTATCCAAACCAGTAATGAGAGTGTCAGCCCTTGGTATATGGCCCAATTACCAGTGCAAACATACAGAGGTTCATTCTCATGCATTACAAGTAGTTACACATACCCCACTGTCTGCACAAACATACAGAGGTTCCTCAACTTGCATGACAAGTAGCTACACATGGCCCAACTGTCATCATTTGTGGAGTTGTGACATGGCTATAGTCATCAGTATATCAGGCCTTAGCCAAAGGACTCTATTTTCCCTTTGTCTAGTAGCTAGGTATCATATGCTGTGCATCATGTGTCCCAGGACCTAGTCTCCTATCAGGCATCTAATCAGTATTTCCACAGTCTATTGTCTTGCAATTGTTTCACAGGCACCAGAGCAACATTCATCAACACTAACAGTTTCCCAGTCAGTGTACAGAGCAGCGTACATCTCCACTAACTGTTTCTCATTAAGATAGTACCAACTTGGGCCAGGGATTTAGCTCAGTGGCTCTTCCACTTGCCTAGCAAGTGCAAGGTCCTGAGTTCAATCCCTGGTACAAAAAAAAAATAATAATAATACCAAATTTTGGCTATAAAGCCAATGGAGTATGTTGTATTCAGCAGGATTTGGCAAGGGAAAATATTAAATGAATAACACATAAATTATGTTATTGTGTGATGATTGCCCAAAGGGTTAAATGCAAAGGAGTGCAAGAGATTAGCCACATAGTAAAAGCCAAAAGCATTCAGCTGAGGGCCTAGATCCTAGCAGCTTCCCACACAAATCCAGCTAAAGGTTTAGAGTTCAGGGTCATGTCCTCCTCAGGTTCAACCAGTGGCCTAGAGCCCACAGCAATGTCTCAGGCTTGTCCATATTGAGGGTCTACAGCCAGAATATCTATGCTCATGAGTTAAAGGATTTGTGCCACCAAGCTGAAGGATCCACACTGAAGCAATGAAGGAATGTTCATGGCAAAGATCAGAGCTCCCCTGATGAAAGCAGCAGATTTTCCCAGTGACAGTAAGGTCCCAAGCTCCTCCTTTGATGAGAACAGCTTAGTTTGCATCAGGAAAACCATCCACAGCAAGCTTCTCCTAAAAAAAATCAACAGGCCAAGATCTTCCCCTCTGGTACTTTTTATGGCTATTGGTAAAAATCATCAGGTGCATCCTCCATGCCTGGACCACTCTGATTCATTTCAGCTGGGTTTACAAGTTGACCATTAGTCAACCCACTACAATCCACCCCTGATCAACTGGATAACAAAATGGACTTCCTTAAATCATAGTCTCTAGTGGCAGATCTGTGAAAAGTTAACATATCTTGATCTCTTCATACTTACATCAATATAACAATTACATATACAAATTATCGTTGCACTCATTTTCACTATGGCTTCAAATTTTAAAACTCTTTGTGTTTCCACTTATATACACAAAATCAGTTTTACATACATCAACATACACTACATTAAATTCAGAATAGGAGCAAGCTATTAAAAATCACAATTCTAGTTTCCCATTAATTTTGACAAGAGGTGAGACAACACTAAAAGACACCCCAAGGAATCTTCTGTACCCCAAATACATTCTTCCCTTCAGGTAAAATATCTCAAGTCACTTTCCAGTGTTCTATCTCTTCTCAACAACCACATTCTCCTCTGTTGCATCCTTGCAATGCACAGCTCTACTGGAACCTCTCCTTTGGTCAAATGCTCCAAATCACCATGCTGTTTCTCTGCTCTTAATTTCTGACACAGATCTGGCCAAAAGCTCTCAGAAGTAACCATGCTACCATCCCAATGATATGCTGCATTGAATTTTTGTCTGCCACCCAAGCATTTCCACCAAGCAATGTTTTCCAAGCACAAGCAAAATGCAGACCTATGGCTTATAAAAGCACACTACCTGGTATTCATCAGTCAATGAAGCCCCCAACAGAGGTTTCCAAGTCTCATCTCTAGTGGCAGTACACTGATTGTCTGGGCTCTTACTGGAATCTGCCATATAATTTAGAGCATGCCAGGGCTGCCTCTTTGGTCAGTGTATCAAAACATTTCCAAAATGATTCCCAAGGCTTTTAAGCTTAGGCAACATCACAGCAAGTACCCACTTTATCTGTGTGGGTTCGTACCACACTTCTCTGTTACCAAATTTCTGTTAGTTTTTTTTTTTTTTTTTTTTTTTTTGCTGAGACAAAATATCCAACACCAAAAGTTTGAGAGGAAGGGGATTTTTGGCCTTTCAGTTCATAGAGGTTTCAGTCCATAATTGGCTGGCTGTGATGGCAAACAAGCATCAAAGAACAAAAACAACATGGCACACCCAAGGCAGCAAAGGTAACAAGAGAGTTAACAGTGTTTCCCTCCTCATTTTATCTTATTCAGACTACTTCGGGTGGGTAACACTTACACCCTTAAATCCTAGTACCTTGGAGCCTAGCATTCCATCATGAATCAATTTCAGCTTCACACACTCTAGATCAAGCCTATGAACACATGAGGCTTTGGTGGGGGGCAGCTAGACTCAAATCATAGCAGGGTGTTCCTCTCCACTTATTTTATCACAAACATCTACCAAACTTAATCTCATCCACATTTGCAGTTAGAGTACAAGACAGGATAGGATCGATGACTCAGAGGGCTTGCACTTGTGTGACTACACATTTTTGAGTCCTGAAAACAGCTTCCACTGCATCCATTTAGTCTCATGTTGCTACTTCTTGGGTAATCTGGAATTATGCTTATCTTTCCCTACCAGACAACACTCATGAGTTGAACATACAAGCCAGTTTTTTTGGACCCTGTCATCTGATGGGCACATTTCCGGGCCAGCAAGGCTTGTTTTAGACCATATACAGTGGCTTTTACATCTTTAAGGGAAGCAGAGGTTAACATAATATCATCAATACAGTGAACAAAGACACAGAGTATAGCTTGGTCCAGGTGGCCTGTTCCTGGGCCACCAGGCCGTAACACAGAGCTGTGCTATACATATAGCCTTGTAACAACAACTGCAAAGTTTATTGACTGCCCTTTGTGCAATGGAGGAGTCACTTTGATCAGTTCCCAGTAGTCCACAGTCATTTATCAAGTCCCATCTCACTTTCACATGTGCCATACTGGCAAATTAGAAAGGCTGTGTGCATGGTGTATCATCCAAGCTTCTTTCAACTGCAAAATGGTCTGTCTTAACTCTTTATGGCCTCTAGGCAACAATGATGATTTGTAAGTGGAATTTTTCTTTGTGTGGTATCAAACTGAGCATCAGTCAAGGGTGAAGGTTCAAGAAACACTGTTAGGTTTTCCGGTTGGTAGCCAGAAAGTTTGTTTACATTTGGTGTCAACTTACCTTCAGTGAACTGAAAGCCTGTATCTGAGGCTGGTCACCCTTGGTGAGAAGCTACGCACTTACACGGCAGGGCTTTGTACTGATGTTCAGAGCTTTCTGTCTCTAAGTCCTGGCATTACCTGTGGGTTTTCAGTGTCTCTGATTTCATCCCCACTGTGTGGGCACCAGTTTCCCAGCAATGCTGGTTTAGTCTTACCTTAATGCTTTATGTCTATGTCATAAAGCCACTCTGAGGCATCTCAGGGCCTGTCATGCTGCTGTGTCACACTAGATGTGTCATCATCCATGGCCTGGGCTTACTCATCATGCTAGACTCTGTTATCACCTAGAACTCCTAGTTCCAAGACCTGCCCAATGAGTCAGTCAAATTTAGCTCCACCAAAACCCTTCTTTAGGCCTTAGAGTGTGCTCCTCATACCAGACTTAAATACACCACTTACAGCATCCCACCTCCTTAGCTTTCTTTGTGTTTCTCATTCCCATTCCTGGGATCTTAGCTCTTGGAGCTTGTTTCAGCCCCATTTGTTGATATTGTTGCCCCTGTGCAGAAATCATTTGCTCTGGCCCACTATAGCACCCCCAGTCATGATGTCTTGCTCTTCTCAAAGCTCCAGCAATTTTCTTTAAATTTCTCAGGAGGTTTAGGCCACAATAGCTATAAGCCAACCACTTTACCCAGACAGTAGACTTTTCTAGGGATGGAGACATATGTATTGGAAGAATGTGGTGCTTTTTTTCTTTTATTGAGTTTATTGGTACATTTTAGGTATACATTACAATTATGTTCATTATTGGGATCTTGTACCTTTACATGACAGGTCTTGTTTCTCATTTTTCCCCTTGTCCCTGCCCTTCCTTTACCCCTTCCTCCCCTCCCCATTTACAAACACTTTATTTCCATTTCTTCATTTCTCCTATTTTTTTCTTTTCCCTTATTACCTTTCCCCCTACCCTTCTCATTTTACCCACACCTTTAGCCCCTTTCTTTATATTTCACATGGTCAATTATATAATTAGGACCTTGTGTACTGTTATAGTTTTTCACACCAGAGAAACTATTCAGTATTTACACATGTGTGACTTATTTATTTCACTTAGGTGCATATCCTCAATATGTATCCATTTTTCTATGAATGAATCTTATTTCTCATTCTTTATGGCTGAATAGTATTTCATTTTATAGAAAAACCACTTCTTTATTCAGTCTCCAACTGATGAGCAAATAGGCTGTTTCCAAGTTTTATCTATTACAAACTGTGCCGCTATAAACATTGGTGTGCATATATCACTGTGGTGAATGTGGTACTTTTTATGTTCCTCAGCAGCCAATCATTACTCCAGTCAATTGGACTGTATCCCAGCACTCAGTGGCATTTCCAAACTACAGAGAAATTTGATATTGGTAACCATGGGTTGGGTATTCATGCCAATAACCCCTGTGCTTTTGTTAGCCTTCATGTTATTCTGTGCTGCCATCTTGTCAGGGATGTTATTGCATTATCCTTTCACCTATCCTGTTTGTGATGCCATTGTCAGATATCCCACCAGACTGCCATTTGTGAAGGCAGAGCTTCCCAAGGAGAACCTGAAGAGGGGTCTATTTAATTCATATAGTCCCTTGTGTGTTAGTTTATCAATTCCCAAATAAGAAAAGATGCAGAAACAAGATCTTTTAAAAGAGCAGCATCACAGCAGGAGAGTTGGAGTCAGAGTTTCACAGTTTAACAGCTGCATGTTTCTTTATTCCCTCAGCAAAACAGTTACTAAAAGACTACAGTATTCTTCAGTTTATAGCAGTTATAGTGCCTTTTCAGCTTACTGGGACATGGAAAGACAAAACATCTCTTGTGTGACCTTGGACATGCTACACATGCATGGTTAAATATGTCAAGTCACTCCTATACAACTGTGGCTTGTTATGTACATAACAGGAGAGCAGAGTCACGTCCTTAAATGTCCTCAGGTGCACTTATCTCTCTCAGGCTTTGAGTGTAAACAGGGCTGGTACTACACAGGAGCCTCTTAGTATTAACACTCCCTGTTATTAAAAACAATGGGAAAATACCACAACCTAATCCAGGAACATTGGCAAATGGTCCAGAAACTTCAGGAATGAAGGTATGGGTCAGTTCAACCAGGGAAAGAATCAAAACCAATTGAAGTGTTACCTGAAGGACAAGGAAATATAGAATGAATATTCAGAGCACATACTTCTAAATACTAGCTATGACTCCATGATCAGGTACAGAAATGAGAACTATACTGTACTATTTTTCTCCTAATACTGGTTCTTCAGGATTGTTAAGCCTGTTATACTGTTCAAGTAATGAAATGTTAAGAGTAAGCATCAAGCAAAGAAAACTTGCTTTCTCTTCTAGGAAGGGAATTAGTGAATTTCTGTTAGTTCACAGGATAATTATAAAATGTTAGACATAATTATGAGCTAATGTTTGTATCTGGAGACTGGTTTAAAGAAATGTGTATGGTAAGACTGATAGGAGTCCATGAAAAAGCAGGACAAATTACAAAAGACATGAAATAAATGTTCACAGAATTAATGACAGAAAACATCCCAAACAGCAAAATATTTTGACATACATATAAGTGAAGTTTATAGGACTCCAACTAACCATGATCAGAAAAAATATACACCTAGACGTGTAATAATCAAGATCCCAGAAACTCAATGGAAGAATGAACTGCTATAAGCAAATGGAGGAAAGAGAGAAAAGAAACAAACCACATACAAAGGAAGTCTGATCAGAATCACAGCACATTTTTCAACAAAAACCCTCAAGCCAAGGAGAGTCTAAAGTGATGTATTCCAAGACATAAAACAAAATAACCTTCAGGGCCAAGGATATGACTCAGTTATTCTGCCACCTGCCTTGGAATAACAAGGTCCTGAGTTCAAACCCCAGTACGAGGGAGAGAGAGAGAGAGAGAGAGAGAGAGAGAGAGAGAGAGAGAGGAAAAAACTTTTAAAAAGCCAATAGGACAATAGCATGACAATGATAAGTCAATACATATCAGCTATAACAATCAATGCTAATGGCCTTAATTGTAGTGGGGGATCTTAATACCCCACTGTCACAAACAGACAGATCATCTAGACAAAAAAATCAAAAACAAAAATACTCGAATTCAACCAAACTTTTGAATACATGAACTAAATAGACATTTACAGAGTGTTCCACCCCACAAAAAGTGAATATACATTCTTTACAGCTGCACACATGTCATTCTCCAAAATACACCACTAACTACCTCATAGAACATGTTCAAGTAAATGCAAAGGAGATGAAGTTATCCCATGTATATTATTAGACCATAGTGCAATTAAACTGGAGATCAATAGAAAAGAAACCACAAGAACTTCACAAACAGATGGAAATTGAACAATATTCTCCTGAACAAGCATAGAGGAAATTAAAGAAGAGATTAGACAGTTTTTACAATTTAAAGATAATGCCAATATGATATACTGGAATCTTTGGATGCAATCAAAGCAATTCTATGTGGGAAATTCATAGCAGTGAATGTCCATACTAGGAAAACAAAGTGAGCTCAAATAAACAACTTAATGCTGAATCTTAAGATCCTAGAAAAAGAAAAGCAAAATAAACCTAAAACTCACACAAGGGAGGAAATTATAAAGATCAGAGATGAATTCAATGCAATGGAGACTAAGATAATGATACAAAAAATGAACAAATGAAAGGCTTGGTTTTTTGAAAGAATTAATAAAATCAATAAACCCTTAGCCAAACTTAACCAAAAAAGGAAAGAAAATGCTCATATTCATGCAATCAGAAATGAAAATGGTGAAGTCACAACAGATCCAGGAGAAATCCAGAGGATCAAGAATGCATACTTCAAGAACATGTACTCTAATAAAATGGAAAACACAGAAGACATAGACAGATTTCTAAAAACATATGAATCACCAACGTTTAATGAGGAAGATATAGATATTCTGAACACCCCATGTATAATCAGTGAAATTAAACCATAATTAAAATTTACTAACAAAGAAAAGGCCAGGTCCTGATGGCTTCACTGCTGAATTCCACAAAACACCTAGAGAAGAACTACTGCAACTGCTTTTGAAACTTTTCATTAAAGTTGTAAGGGGAGCAGTACTTCCAAATTCATTCCTGAAAGCATGTGTTACTTTGATTCCAAAATCAGGGAAAGACCCAACCAAGAAAGAGAACTACAGGCCAGTCTCCCTAATGAGCATAGATGTAAAAATACTCAATAAGATACTGACAAACAGAATACAGAGTGTCACCAAGAAGATCATAAACCCTGACCAAATCAGATTTATCCCAAGGATTCAAGGATGGTTTAACATATGGAAATTAAAAAATGTAATACACTGTAATAAAAAAGTCAAAGACAAAAATGTATGATCATCTGAATAGATGAAGATAAAGCATTTAACAAAATTCAAAACCCATTCATGATAAGAAACCCTGCAGAAAATTGGTATAGATGTTCTTTGTCTCAACTTGATAAAGGCAATCAATCTATGGAAAAGCAACAGGCAACCTCATACTAAATGGTAGAAAACTGAAAACCTTCAAGCTAAAATCAGGAACAAGAAAAGCATGTCAACTGTCACCACTCCTGTTTAATATAGTTTCAGAAACATTAGCCACAGCTATGAGACAAGAGAAAGAAATAAAGATAATAATAAAGATAGCTATAAATTTAGAAAAGTAGAAGTTAAATTATTATGTTCTGATAATATGATACTCTACATAGAAGGCCAAAAAAAGTCTCCACCAAAAGACTTCTAGACTTAATTGATATATTCAGTAGAGTAGCTGGATACAAGGTCAACAGTTAAAAACCAATAGCCTTCTTTTACACAAAAAACATAATCACTGAGATAGAAATTAGAGGAACTATCATTTTCACCATGGCATCAAAAAAAAATGAAATATCTAGGAATCAATCTAACAAAAAATAAAAAGACCTCTACAATGAGATCTACAACACTTTGTAAAAAGATATAAAAGAGAATATATGAAACTGGAAAGATATCCCTTGATCCTGGATAAGTGGAATTAATATAGTGAAAATGGCCATACTTCCAAGACTGCTACACAGGTTCAATGCAATCCCAGTTGAAATCCCAACAGAATATTTCACAAAAC